TATTAAATATCAATTCTTATACGATAAAAATTAGTAAGAGGTCCGATTTCGAAAATTTTCATTAGCAATGTGCATTTTAGCTTATGTGTGTAGAATTCCAAATTAGGAGTTCTGTCATGATTTTTTGCCGGTTTTTTCTCATATTATAACAAATCGGTTGTATGGAGGCTATTTGATATAGTCCATGGATTCCGATAATTTCGGTGACAATGGCGAGTTGTAGCTACGAATGCATAATGCATAATCCCAAACTCGAGTTGCTTTTTCACGGAATTTCGCCCAAAGTCTCATACCTGAGCGTTATTTTACAATTTTCGATGATTTTTGGTATATGTAAACGAATAATTTATCGCACACACACCAAATCCTTGCTCTTATATGCTTTTTTTGATATATTTATTACTCAAAATGTCAAATCGGAAAAATCGGTCGGTAATATGCTAAAGTGATCTCATTTGGATGGTTCCGCCAAATTAGCGCGGTTAATAGTTGTTGGTTAATAATGAATTGGATAATGCAAAATTGAAAGAGATTACATATCCTATGTTGGCGCAGTGCTAGAACACTCGCCTCTTGAGTCAGGATCCGTTGGTTCGATCCCTGGAAAAAGAAATCTGATGAGGAGATTTGGTGATCACTGCTATAACTCTTCTCTGTTCTATGACAAACAAATAGGCCTTTATATCACTAAAACTTATAACAAAATTTAATAGTACAGGCTGCAAAAACCAATTCAATTAAATTATTTTTCAATGCATATGTTCTGGTACCGCTTCTTCAAACTGAGAATAATATAGACAATTCAAAGCATTAGAAGAAACGAATATTAATTTCACAAATTTGTTAGTTTCGATGAATGCAGTGAATTCTAGATGGTAAGGAATTGTACATAACACATGTGGCCACATTTTAAGCCTTCCGGGACCCCTCCTTAGCAACGTGTATATATGCATAACAAATAATTTTAAACAAATTGTTATATTAAAAAGTAGACAAAAGTATTAAAAATATTTGTAATTGTTACACAATTTATTTAAACATATATTCCTTCTCGGTGTGATTCCTTCGGTATATTTCGGCTAGTAGGAAATCAGCCAATCTTGAGACACTCAATCTTCCATGGTATTCTTTTTATCTTTGTGTGAATCGTGGAAGGTATTAGGGTGGAAACGAAGGAAATGTACTTTTAAAAGTCTAATATTCCGTCCAATGAAAACGCCTTCCTTCAACCTTAACTCAGAGACGTGTTTCAAACTTTGATATTAAGTATTTGGAGTAAATTCAATTCCTTGGAAGTGACTTTACCGAGTATCATGGCAAGATTTTTTAGGTTATCGCGTCGTGAGAATGCGCCACTGTGGAGCTCGAAAATAATTTCGGGCTACTTTAATATAAAACCTTGACTTGCCATCGGGCACAGCACCAATTCGGGGCCTTGGGCACTGGACGAATAACGGTTTGCTAATTGTGAGTAAATAAGATATTAATATTTTTTTCATTTCATACAGCTCAGTTAAAAGAAATGTCTCAGAAATGTGTCAGTCTCTTTCGACTATTTTCCATACGACCATTCCACCGATTTGGCTGATATTCGGCGAAAGTACAGAAATTGATCATCCACTCTACAGCTTCTATTTTCCCAGTGACTTTCTAGTTTTTTGAAATTTAAAAATGGAGTTACGGAGACGAAGACTTTCAGACGATAGTGAGTTGAAAGCAGTCTTGGAAACTCATTTTGAAGAAAAATCTAAAGAATATTTTTTCAGTGATATAAAGTATATAATATATAATATTGTATTCACGATGTCGAAAGTTTATTTAACTGGATGTATGTTGTATGTACGTCGTTGTGAATGGCCAGATAGCTTCAGTTGTTGTGTGAGCTAGACTTTATAGCTCTAAGTGCAAAATATGACATAAAGGGCCATAAGAATTGGACACGTCTAGAAATAAACATATTCGGGATTTTAGCTACAGTCTCAAGAAACTATATTGCACCAGCGCAGCATCTACCAATTGTGCAATTATTAAACAGTCCATTTTCGTATATTCCTGACGTTTAACTAAAACAAAACGTGTTTGGTTTGACAGCCAACAGACAGTAAGAATTCAACCGTTTACTTTTGAAATCACGAAATGGATAACCCTATATATTGAAAAAGGGTTTTTTGTTCATTTAAAAATAGTTCTTTAAATGATCCCTTTTATCGGCATTTGCTTTTTTTAAAATATGCATCGAACTTATTTTAGAAGATTAAATCCCTCTTGCCAGCGAATGTTGCATTAAAGATTCCAAGTCATATAACTAGTTTTGGGAACCAGGAATTATTATTTCATCATTTTACTGATAACTCTTATCCCAAAAATTTTTAAACATTTAAGATATTTAATATAATAAGTCACGGACAAATGTCAGTCCTCAGGTAAATAAGGTGAATACAATAATATTTTGAATGCCCGAAGAGCAGAACGATCGAGCTCAGAAAGTGAAGCTGATATGATGAGATCGGTGTTCTGAAATTTTGGAGATGTACACTTGGCAGGCAATTGAACATTTGATCGAGCTCTAATTTTTTATATATGCAAGGATATTATGGGCTCCTTTGCCAAATAGGAAGAAAACATAAAACAAAACATCAACGAATGCAGGCAAAGAAAAAAAAACTACGAAATTCTTTTTCAAATGCAATAAATACGTTTGCGGAAATTGAAGAACCTATGAATTGCACAATTGGCCGAGGGGCGACCACAATTAGAAAAATAAACTTAATTTTTTATATTTATATTAATTTTCTATTACTTTATGGATGTTGGTACGACACCAGGACTTGCACCCAAGCTCCCAATAGCAGGCAGTACGCAATGCTAGATACTTTTTAGCACTATTGTTAAGCGAAATGTGATAAGTTAAATCATATTGGAGATATAATTTTCCTTAGATACTTTAATTATTCCCGCATCTACAGTTAAGTTATATTGTAATTACCTAAGAATTTACGAAATTAAAATATTTTGTTTAATTAAAAATACAGAATTTTCCTTACTTTAAAACAAAACACGAAAGTAAATATTAATCAAAAATATATTCAATCATAATTTCCAAATCAAAGGCGAGTCTAGTGAATACTAGGTGTGTTCATAAAGTATCGCGAATTTTGATTTTTCGCGTGTTACGTATAATTGAATTTCGATTTCTTTTGTGGCGTTATGTTGGTACTCATGTCTGTCACTTATGCCGATAAGCTCGGCAATTTTGAATGTTCGCAGCTGCTTTGCTTGCACGTGTTTTGGCTGGTCTTCGATTTTTACTTATTCAAAAAAATTGATCAAAGAACCTGTATCAAATTTTGTGTGAAAAACGAAATTAAGTGCGCGGATGCATTACGAATGTTGACTGTGGCATACGGAGAAGCTACCTTGCACCGAAGTAACGTTTATCGGTGGTACAAAATGTTCTCAGAAGGCCGAGAAGATGGCCAAAAACAACACACTAATGATGCCGCAGCCACCGTATTTCCCAGATCTGGCCCCCTGTGACTTTTTCTTGTTCCCTAAACTGAAGAGGTCCATGAAAGGACGACGCAATACTACGATTGACGAGATAAAGACGGCATCGAAGGAGTAGCTGAACAAGATAAAAAAATGATTTTTTGAAGTGCTTCAAAGATTGGAAAAACCGTTGGCACAAGTGTATAATATCTCATGAGTATTACTTTGAAGGGGGCAAAATAGATATTCATGAATAAATAAATAGTTTTTGAAAAATCCCAAAATTCGCGATATTGTTTGAACACACCTAGTCGAAAAAATCAAAATACTGCACGTCCATATGGTCAATACTGTACAGTTGGTAATTGAATTTTTTTAATTTCATATTTTAAACAATTTATGTTTTAAAATTTGTTGAGCTAAAATCAAATGGATTTGTTTTATATTTATTACTAAAATGTCTAATAATAATAGGTATAAAAAAATAATAAATTGCATGGAATTATCGTACCGAAAAAAATTCAATTCAGAACCATGCAATAACAAAAATCTTTGAAAATCAAAAGATGTTTTTGAGGTAAGGGTATTTAGCATGAAACTCGTTTCTACATAAAAAGCATAAATCATGTTTAGATAATTTAAGGTGATAAATTGAGATATAACTTTTAAATTGATTATAACTTTTTACAGAAACTCAGTACCATAAACATATTTACCGATTTTACGAAAATCACGATTATGTAAATATCTGACTATTTTTGAAAGGCAATATTCGACTCAAACATAAAATTCAGAATTTTTATAATGAAAAAATAAATGAGCTATAAAGAACCCAAAGAAAACCGACTTTTAAGCAAAAAAAAAAAAAAAAAAAACTAGAACTATTCTCCATATTATTATCGGAATAAACTGTGTCTCAAACTTTATATTATTTTATTAGCTATCATTATGGAAAAATATAAGAAACATTGAACATTAAAGTGAACGACTTATTGCACAATTGCGTGTTTTGAACAATCCTCTTCTCACGCTAAAAATTAAAATTGTTCAAATAAAAAAAGTGCCATATTCATATTGCCGTATTCTTCTTTTCATTTCATATTTTTGCTGCACCATAAGATATATCGGACATTTTTATTTTATTGAAGATCAAATCACAACGCGAACGAATTTTGTTTTTACTTATTAATTTCGTCTGTAAGGGCAAATGGCAGAGTCCAAAAGTGAGAAGTGTGATAAATTAATTGCCCATGAACATGAAATAATAAAATTATGGAAAAGCAGCATTGTTTCAAATTCCATGTTTTGCGGAAACCGTTATTACAATGAATCTACATTTGAAGAATATATAGCGTCTAATAAACGTATGATATATCTATATACAAATCGGTTAATTATTTAATTGCAACAAACTTTCTCGTTTGAAAATCACACAATACAATCACCAGATTCACAATATAAATGAAATTAATGGGTTATAAATGTAAGTATGTACATGTGTATTTTCGTACTGTCAAGGCTTCGGATTCGATGTAACACTCCAAAAAATGGCAGACCCAGTAATCCTGGAAAACGCATTGCCAATATGTAAAACTCTTTTCTACTCCACAACCAGTAACACCACAAAATGAAAACTAAGCCTAGAAGTGTTAACTTAAGTAAATCGTTCTTTTCCGTGAACTCCATGGCTCATCCGCGTGTTACTATTATTTAATACTGGCAACTTAATCTACTTTACAAATTAAAACACTGCTATTTGGAAGATAAAATTTAAGGTTTTTATATTTATGTGTCCAGAAACGTTTAATTATTAATAGGTCTACCTTACTCGTGTCTATACCGATGCCCAGTAGGAAAGTCTATACTAATGAATTTTATTTCCGTAGTTGCAAATGCATATTTATGCCTGTGTATAATATATATTCCACCGTATGGAACGAGCTACAGTGCATTTTAAGCCGCCTCTGAGGAGTATTTTATTTCATGCCTGCAATATACTGGGAGGGCATGACATTGGAAAAAAGACCCCGGTCAAAATGTTCATTTAGAAAATGAACATTATCTCCAGTTCAGCCTCGTACTAGTAGACTGTCAATTGCAACAACACTCAAAGATTTTTAATAATAAAAAATAACCACCTTAACATAGGCGAATGGCGAGAATTTGGTGGAAAGTAAGAATTTGGCGGCAATGTAAATACTTCTTTTTATATAAAAGGTATTTTAAAGAAAAGAAAGTCCATCGCTTCAGATTTCACAAAATGAATTTCTTCTGAGGGACAGACGCAAAAGATTCGCAAAACCGCTATCTCCATACGAATTAGAACATTAAAGAAACCAAACGAGCTTAGAAGCGGTTGAAGATACAGGTATACTCGTAATGTTAAACCAGTTCCAATTTGTTTCCTACAGGTCTTTCTTATACTTACAACAAGCCTATAAGCACAAATACCGTATGTGTAACTAAATGTACAAATGTGTGGTGATTTGATTCATTTGAGTTTTTTTCATGTCAATTAAAAGCACATAATAGCATATTTAAAATCATATTTTTTGCATACATACATATGTATGTCTGTGTGCATATTTTAAATGTTTTTGGACACAGAAAATAAAATATAATGAGCTTCAAACTTTTATAAAGTACAATTTTCACGAAATTCTTCTTTAGACAATTACAACAGCTACATACACCTATATACAGTAGATACATATGTATGTACATTATATCGGTTGTAAAAAATATATATAGTTGTTTGTGTTTACCTTTTGGAGTGGGTCAAACTCAGCAAGCCAGAGGATAAAGGTCAAGAGAAGCTGTAATACAACATTTTGAAAACGGTTTGTATGTTTGAGTTTTGGTGGAGACCAATATTAAAAAATCTCAACTGCTTGGGTATGTGAAAAATGAAAGTTTTTATGAGCTTTTCAGCTATTTAAGATAAATCTACTTCGAAGGCCCACATATCAAGCAGAGGTAAATTTTGCATTAAAGTTTGCTCAAATTTGCATCTATGTTAGGTTACTTTAGAATCGTTCGCTATTTCTAGGCTTGTACTTACAAAAACCCGGTCGTTCCGGTATAAAAACTCGACTGTCGCGGGAACTATTGGATTTTAGTTGCCCCTTAATGCATGCTTAACAGCGGGTAAATTCTTTAACCCCTAACCCACAGGGGCACAGAGATGAGTGCCGGTGGTTGATTTCGGCACTACTACTGTATTCTCTTTTATACAAGATCAGAAAACAGTTATTCAAATTTGCTTCAAAACAAATACAAAATCGAAGCAAGAAATCCATCAAATAAAAGAAAAACCCTAAGGAAATAAACTTGCCAAGAATGAGTTGAGCGCTCGATTGTCGACAAAACAAAATACATATTCACCTTCGGGGAAGATTTGGAAAATCAAATTCAATGCGCTGTTTATTTATAAGTATGTTTGTATATCTAGAATATACCAAAGCAAAACTTGAAGTGCATTTTGTTTTTAATAATGGCGCTTTGTAGCCGCTGAAGCGATTTTCGGCCGAGCAAACAAAAGCAAACTGCGCCTCGCTAAGGTTTGTGATGCTTTACTTTATCTTAAATTCTAACCAACAACGGCCGACATCGGAGAGCAAGTTTTTTGCGCTAATTTTTTTTTAATATTACATTACTTATTTTTTTTGGTCTGTTTCATATTTTAGCCAGTTCACCGAAAAGCAACTTTTTTGCACGAAACGCGTTCCAAAATGTCAGAGTTTGCAAAGTATTGTTGGGAGGCAATTTTTCCGGTATCCTGGGTATCAGAAAATGACACTCCAATTTTATTTCATATACAAAAGAACTTAAGGTAATAAATTAAAAGTACCATATTTTTTCCAAGACACATGTTTGCTTTCTCAGAATTATTAAAAATATCTCCGCTGTGCATTTGCTAAATCAGTTGACATAAATGATTTTTTCACTTAATATTTAATATGACTCTTTTGCTTTAATTACTTCATCAATCAAAGTTTGGAAATGGCCTCGATCACCTTCCCGCAGAAATCTCCGCTAATATTTTGCCAACCATTTTGTGCCTTCGGCCATAAATCGTTAATCTGCTAAATCAGAAATCGCACTTTTGACCTCAACCGAATCATGTTCGGTTTGGTTGAGGTCTGGTGATTGAGGGGGGTTAGTCAAGTACTTTAAAGCTATTGTTTTGAAGTCGAGCTTTGGCAACACGAGAAGTCATTATCTTGCTGGAAGATGACATCCGCCACATTTTTGTCCCGCCATTTTAGGTTTCAGCACAAACTTTGTTGAAGGATACCAACATATTAGCTGGCATCCATTCGCCCGGTACTCCTTACACACTCTCCAACCCCCTTCTAACTCGTACATCTCCATATCAATACATTATCTTTTCCAAACTTGAACAATGCGGCTAGACATTGCTTCTATTGCCGCCCATCTTTTCCCAGCCGGCGTATTTCTGTTTCGCCTGACCAAATGAATCAGATCAAGTCAGGTTTTTATAGTTTTTTGGAAACTGGAGCCTCGATGTACAGTGTAATTTAGCAATCCGTTTTCCGGCAATTTCTTCCTGATAGCATCCTTTGTTACATTTATTCCATCGCCATGAAAAAGATCACACCTGATTTGGTACGCATTTTCATACACACACAACTTTATCTGCCTAACCATGGGTCTTTCCAGTGTAGGGCTTTATGACTTTCTTATATATAAAACCATACAACTTCTCTGTGTTTTGTGTTTAAATCAATAAGACTTTTGATTTCTTACATTTTCATCTATACTTACTTACTTTACTGGAGCAGACACCGCTTGCGCAATTATGGCCGATTTAAGAACATTGCACCATTCGTTTCCTCTTTTTGCTGTTTGACCCCAATCGGAAATACCTACTCTACCTGGTCTTTCCAACGAAGTGGAGGTCTTCCTCTTCTTCTGCTTCTACCGGCGGGTACTGCATCGAAAGCTTTAAAAGCTGAAGTATTCGCATCCATCCGGACCACATGGCCTGGCCAGCGTAGCCGCTTCTTGATTCGTTGACCTATATCAATGTCGCCGTATAACTCGTACAGCTCATCGTTCCATCGTCTGCGATATTCGCCATTGCCAACGCAAAGGGCCATAAATCTTACGCAAAACCTTTCTCTCGAAAACTCCTAACGCCGACTCATCAGATGTTGTCATCGTCCATGCTTCCGCACCCTGTAGCAGGACGGGAATGATGAGGGACTTGAAGAGTTTGGTTTTTGTTCGTCGGGGGAGGTCTTTACTTTTCGATTGCCAACTCAGTCCAAAGCAGCACCTATTGGGGCAAGAGTGATTCTGTGTAGGATGTTAAGGCTGACATTATTATTGGTGTTAATGCTGGTTCCTAGATTGACGAAATTATCTACGACTTTAAAATTATGACTGTCAACAGTGACGTGAGAGCGATGGCTGTTTGTTTCATGACAGTAGATTTTTCGTCTTGGCCTCGTTTACTACCAGACCCATTCGCCTCGCTTCTTTATCTAGCCTGGAGAAAGTAGAACGGCGTGGTTGTTGAGGCCGAATATCATCGGCGTGCGTCAGTAGTTGAACACTCTTATTCAGCTCTGCAGCTCTTATTAGTGTCTCTACCATCAAACTAAAGAAATCATACGACAAGCAGTCACCCTGTCTGAAACCTCGTTTGGTACCGAACTATTCCACTCTTACTAACTGAAATTTCACGGGATTATTTAGTGAACTTATCCTACTTATTCAAAAGTTTATTTAATAAAAGATCCAACAAAATGTAGTATCTGGAAATGATATGTGATCAAATAGTTGACACAGTGTATATGTATATGTGTTCAGATGAAAGGTCTTATTATTCCGGTAGATTTCACTTTTGATGCAGTAATTTTTTTACATTTTAAAAGTATGAAAATATTAAAATTCACTATAAAAATTTCATCGAAAAATCAATAAGCAAAACTGTCGCATCTGTGGCTCGGAAAACCCACAGCCAGCGTGTAACTGTTGATAGGCCCGGTGTGAAGCTCATGTGAGGGGGAAAGTTTTCAAATGCCATTCACCTGGAAGTGGCCAGAATGATTCTCACGACTTTCGGTTTCAGATCAAGTGTCTTAAGAAATATCGTCGAGATGCCTTCTCTCTTTTATCTCGGTAGTAAAATCGATAATTCCACCATATGAACTGCATTCACTGTATAGGGTGCGGTTTTTCTGGCGGTTTTAAGTCGATTTTGACAAATGTGCGTCTATGACGTTTCATTGCCATACACACCGAAGGAACACGTTGCAATCTTAGCGCTTTACATTGAAAACAATCGTTCAGTTAAGAAAATAGTGGGTGCTTATCGTATGAGGCTCATTTCATGGAAAATTGTGATTTAGAGTAGCCGCCCCTTCTTCAGATTTAACTGTACCTGGCTTTTTCCTTTGGGAGTATTTAAAAAGTATAGTTTATGCGAGCAAGCCAAACACGACTGAAATACTGGCCAATGTTATGTAGAACGAGCCTTTTTTGTATTAAAAGAAGGTAGTCATTTAATCGACGTTGTGTTCTAAAACTGATTCGAAATAAATGGCAGAGTATATCCTAAATAAATCTTGCTCATTTGTCAAAAACGGCTAAAAACCGACAGAATTATTCAATGTTGAAATACCGAAGTCTAAATGGCGCATCCTGTATACTTAAATCATTACAATACGAGCTTACTTCAGCACAAAATAATTTTAATTTCGTATCATAATCTTTTCCAGAAAAAGTTTTTTACTAACAATTATTAATTTTTTCTTTTAGAAAAAAGATAAAATCTGTTGCGTGCCTCGTTTCAAAGCTATAAGTCTCTACTTTTTATTTTTCTTGAAAAGAAATTTTTCTCTCTATGAGAAATTATTTTTTCTCTACGTTTACAGGGGCCGTCAGACATAGCAATTAATTAATTTCCAATTACTTGGCAAATGACAAAATTCGAAATAAATGAGTGCAATCACACACTGAAATTTTTATTTCTGCAATTATTGAAGCTCCATGGAATTGAATGCGTGGGGAAATAAAAATTTTGTTGAAATTGCCACGTCTGACGGCACCTTAGGCGTGCACAAATTTATTGTAAATTCCCACTATTTCTCTGAGCTTTGAATTGAAAACTTTTATCATTTTCAGGAACATACATACGTATGTACTATATGGATGTGTGATCCAAAAAAGCACGCCCATTATCGAAAAAATATGGTAAAGCTTTAAAACATTAGTACCATAATGTTAAGTTGTCCCACTTAAATTACTTTATAGTAAAGAAGCTTTTTAAGCTTTTATTATGCCTTAGCAGAGAATCTATAATCATTATAAGTTTTCTGTTTTAGGTTGCAAACTTACAATAGTTAAACTCAGGTAAATTATCACCCTATAAAACTAAAAGCAGGGAAAATAAGATCTAGAGAAATGTAGAGAGCATTTTATAGATAAAAATTCTATGTTCTGCCGTAAATGTAGGAAAGCTTCTAAATGAGTGTTTGCACTCTTGTACACATTAGATTCTAACCCTTGCATCCAGTAACCAGTCTCTAGGAGTATAAAATAACAAGTAAACAGTTATTTTGTTTATTTGAATATACGTTATTATGAAAAAGTTGCTTCAGAAATTATAGAATACATAGAATACACATATTTTTGCTTATGATAATTTCAGATTTAACATTTTTCAAACAAGATTTTCAGAATTATCAATATGACACATTCAAAAATAAGTTCTTTGTGAATGTTTATTATAATTTGCAGCTTTTGTCCATTTAAAAGAAATATATATATATGTATATGGCTCCAACATGTCTTCAAGGAAACTCCTCGCAGGTAATCGACCAGCACATGTTTGTTTAGTGTAACTTTAGTTAGACGCCGCTGTTAGCTGGTCATATCTGTTCGTTTTCAAATATCAGAAATATTCTTGAAAGCCCGAGGTAAGTTCTCAGTGATTAGTTACGCCGACACTGCAAAATTATTAATTTCACTATAGTGGTAATTCAATCAATCACATATTTTTTCCGTGTTTTAGATTCCAATTCAGCCCTTCAGGGTGAATGGCTTAGTATAAACTGAGACCCACAGTTGGACTCACATATTAAGAATACCTGAGTCGAAAATCTTTTCGGCGGATAAGCAGAGGTCTCAAAAATAAAGATCAGAGTGGGTTAGTGAAAGAGGAGTAAATGCAGAAAAAGTAACTGTAATTATAAAATTTATTAAATTGTCTTTTTGTGCCATAGCCCTATACAACATAATAAATACTGCCTGTCATCAAAAGTGGTTAAAGTCACAAAATACTCTGAGAGAAAGATGATAAACGAGGACTTGGAAACTGCGAGCGCGCAATAATGCTATGAAATTACTACTTCTGTTAAAAATCATACATACATATATGTATATACATATAAATATATATATATTCATATATATATATTCATATATATGAATATATATTCATGAATATATATTCATATATACAATTGTATTCCACATTATTTTCTCTTTTAGAACTTATTACTGCCCTTTCAATTAAATTTAAGTGTTTGATATTTTTGTCTTGATTTTTATGTTTTTTGTTTTAACTGCAAGTACATAAAAAATAATCATTTATTTCATAGTACAAGTTATTATTTAAGAAAAGTTACGTAAAATATGTGCATGTGCACATACATACATATGTATACTATGTAAATATAGGGTCCAATAAATTACATACCTACATCATTTATTTTCAAAAACTGTTATTTTTTGTTGTGTATAGAATGACTGTGGGCCATTTTTTACCCTATAAGCCATTTTTATATTTATTTATACATAAAAATTTTTAAATTTAAAGATTCTATATAAATTCATTGATTTTTGCAGTTCTTTTGCAGCGGACTTGTTTATTTTTTCACGGTAAATCCGAATTATTTACACTTTGAACAATTGAAGCTCAACTTTTCAATCTTTGTTTGTTTTACTTAGCTGTATTAAGTTTGTGTATCATCTGCACTCACAGCAACGTTTTTTCACGTACAAACGTCTCACAAGTATGGATCGCTTCTTTCCTTTACAGGAACTTTTTTTGGTTTGTGTACCACTGATTTCGATGAGTTTAATCCTATATATGTGGTGGCGCATTCATATAACATATGTATTTATTCGAGTATACTATCTTTCGTATAAGAGTACACTCAAACACTTTCTTCCACTCCTTGATTATACCTCTGGTCTTTTCTCTCTAAAAAAATATTACTCTCTTCCTAGGGAAATTCACAACATAAAGGATTATAAGAAGAGAAAAATGTCCATTTGTATAAAATTTCTCTATGTTTTGAAGAATTTCAGACATGAAATTTTAATCGTTGTCACACGATGAATCAGTCGATAATCGGGACATTCAGAAAGCGGTTGAGTGTAGCGCGTGTTCATCGCATATTGAATTGTGGTATACAAAATGTTTTTAAGTGCTTATGTTCTATTGCTACTAAACGAGAGAGTGTTCGGCTATTGAGATTAATTTAGCACGTGTATATACATACGTATGTGTTTGTTTCATGTTTGTCACTTTATGTCCTCAATCGTGGCCACGCACGCACCCGTGAAATGCAATGTTTGAAACTGCATCGTACAACTTCTACTACTATACATAAATATAGATATACATATGCTCATATGGAGATGTATGTGCTTATGTATGTATATATATTCTAATCGGTAAAAATCTGCACTTTGGATTACCGCAGGGTTTCTGTCTGAGCGTTTATTTCTTGTCAACGTAGGCATATACATAAGACATATATCTATAAATGCATATGTATAATATATTTAATTATGCATCGTGCGTAAATAATTTATAGTCAGGAAGTATACTGTCACTACTCTCCCTTAAGAAGTTACCGCCGGATAAAAATAAAATTTAAAAAGTTTTTCCCCACGAAAAACAACAAAACAGCAATAACGTAAAGAGTTGTGATAGTTACATATAAAATGCATACATATGTATGTGCGTATATATGTATATAAATATTTAATAGATAACCAAAATTTTGTGTGAGGAAAAAACTAAACATTTTAAATCAGTTTTGGAATACATTAATAATTCATTTAATGATGTGTATTTAAGCATTGCCAGATTTCGTATGAATTGTCTTCTGTCAAGTGATTGTAGATATGGATGTGGAGCAAAACAATAATAAAATATAAATTAAAAATAATAAAGAATAATTGCAATGTCTTTAACTCAAGTTATACAAATGAAGGAAGTTAATTTCAATTTGAATCGAAAATAGCGTGTGAACTTTACCACAGATCTTTTCATTTCACATTTTCATGTCACCTTTTTGATAAATTTTTCTTATAAGAAGTGGAAGTGCATTCAAATCAGAATTTAAAAATTTAAAAAATTAGACGATTACCTTATATGTGTTGGTTGGTTTATATTTCACGAAATCGAGCAATAATAAAATCAATTACAACGTAATTTTCTGATCTAACTCAAAGGTCTTTAAATGCAAAACCTTCGAATATTTAAGAAGTTTGATGGACTTTAAACGGGCCTTAACACTTCAATGTAGCTTCTACATTGGGAAGCTCCATTTAATACGAAAAAAACAGTGAAATAAATATAAAATTTTGGTTTATTTTGTCAATTGATGATTTTTGTTACAACTCAAAAATTGTGTTTAAGAAAATTAAAATAAAATACAGTGAAAATTATTTGGTAAAATTTTTGTTTAGAGCCACAGGCTTTCGCAAATAAATTTTATATGGATGGAAAGAGGAAAAATCATAGATTCTAAAACTAATTTTCTTTTATTTAGCTGACTTATAGTTTTTTAATAATTCTATTTTAAATTTCGAGTAATAAATGCAAAATTACGTCTACATTGGAGTTGCCGGACTACTAAGTAAAATAATACTTAAGTACAGAGCTTGTGTGTTTGTATTTTGGCTAGGCAGGCGTAGCCACTCAGTAAAAAGGTTTATAAATTAAGGATAAATATGCAGGAAAATATNTCATAAAGAAATAATGGAATAAAGTTAACACTTTATAACAACAAATAACTTATAAACTTTAATATATTCAAATTCCAAAAGTTAAAATATTGGAAAAATATATTTCTGTCATCATTCCTACGAAGTTTCATGTCGAAATTCCTGGTTGTTTGCTTACAATATCAAGTGGGGCTGCATATCAAAGCTCAGCCAATTATTTAATTTAGGGTGCTTTTGTCGCTTGGTGGCTTTTGTTACACCCTAAATTTGTGTCTGCATATTGTGAAGGAACCTTTATCAAAATATATTAAGCAGAAGAGATTTGGTCGTTTCGAAGTGAAAGCTAAATCACGTGCCGATATTTAAGTCTTTGAGTGAATAAATTGCCGAAGATTGAGATCATATATGTATTTGCATATGATTGCAGCTAATATTTTCAAGTGATATTATGGCTCGTACTAATCGGCGAGTATAATGAATTTAAAAAAAGCGAGGACTTTCGTTTTATTATCGCTCTATATAGTCGCCACGGTATGGGCAGAATTCATATTGCGAGTGGATCCCTTAGGTAAGCATAATTATTATATAACTATTACAATTATATAGAGGATAGTTTTATTATACTATAGGTTAGTCAAAAATCATTAAATAATATAGACATTCGTTAAGTCAGTCAGTCAGCCATTTCATAATATATAAATGATTGGAACTGTATAACCTTTAAAACAATTTTCTCCTCCAATTTGTAGCGTGTTTCTTGATGATTTTGCAAAAAAAAAAATTGCAATAGATATCTACAGTTTATTCTAAGCCACCTTCGAACGGCTGATGAATCTTTATAACGAGTAATTTTTTACTTTCAACAGCTATGTTCGTTGAGAAATATCAGTAAAAAATATTCAGTAACAAAAACGTGAGAGTAAGATTTTTACTCTCCCATAGAAAGAAATTTACTGAGTTTTCACCGGACAGAAATCAGTAAAAATTAGCCCTCAAGTTGTACAATAGCTGTTTATTTTAGCGGTTAAATTTGAATCAGTTCATTTGTTACTTCTGCTTTTAAGTATTTTCCGAAGTATTTTAATAAAATTGGCAATTATATGACATTTTATTAATTGTATTGAAGATTTATTGTATTTCAACAATAATGAAATTATGCATGCTTTATAGTCGTAAAATGATGAAGATGAAGATAAAGATAAAGATAAAAGGACGAAGATTTGAGTTTCTTCGACTCTGTTAAATAAAATTTAAGCAAAAGCTTTATTTGCCCTTTTAAACGCGACTAATATTTCATTTTGTGCATCGTGCTCGCTTCCGGAAGCTTAAAATGCATTATTGTCACTGTGATCGTTGCAACAACTTTGCTCCACTGTTTTCTAATAAATTATATAAATCAAGAATCAATTTGTGTTGTACAAGAAATAATAATATATTCAAGGCCCCCAATGTTCCTAACTTCCAATTTCTCAACGTAGGCTGGTTGGTGTGAGGGTGATGATTTAACTAGCACCCCAACTATTTAATTGAATCGTTGATATTTAATATTATTTCATTAAAAAAATACATTTGAGCACTTATTGTGTTAGTGTATCGTTCAAATTAATGAATTAATATTATTTTCATTTTAAATAAATTTTGGTTTGCTGACAAAAATTCAATGAAATGTTCACAAATAGCTGTTTCTAATATTTGCTAGTTTTTACTGGCTGAAATTTTGCTAGCACGAATTTTCAACTTTCTCTCCAACACCAAAAGTTAAAATTGCGCCTTCTCCGTTACTAATTGTACTAAGTTTTTGGCTCAACGTGCACGATTCAATAAAATTCAGTACGAATTGTTACTCTCCATCTAGTCAACTAACAGAACTAATCTCAGCACAAGGGCGACCGCCAGTGGACAAATGGGTTTATATACATACATAAGTATATAATGTTTTTGGTTTTTATGAAAATAACTTATTAATTATGATTTATTGTTTTAGAGTTAATCGAAAAGCTTTGAATCGAGGCGAGACGAATCTCGCTGGGTTCGCTAGTTTTGTATAATTTTTTTTGTTGGCTTGGTCAGGATTTGAACCCATGCAATTCTGAAAAAAAAACTTTTTTTTATTATGAGACCTAGTCCAGGACTTCTTAAAATATATGCATTCTTCATCGTTTATAAAAACTTTTAGAAGAGACTTGGAAAACCAGTATTTCTTATTTATGGCAGATGCTGAAGATTGTGGGTATCACTTTGGGCAAACATTGAAGAATAAAGCATTTTTGTTTTTTCGCTTATTTCGAAATAAGGAACTTTGATTATGTCCTTCCGATTATGAGTAGCACATGTAATAGCGATGAGTACTCTCGGACGCCAGCCATTGCAAATGCAAATATTTATATAGGAAATG